GATGCATCAGGATTTGTAAATATTAAGACTGAAAAAGCACTTCAAATTGCTCAATAGGAAATTAAAATTGAGTTGAAATATTCCTGCTTTTGCTCTTAAATTATCTTCTTTTTCTTCTTCTTCGATTGATTATCTGTTATTATGCATTTAAAATCTTCGTGATTTCAAAATGCGAGGGAAAGTCGATGGTTATCCGCACTTTTTATGTTTCTAATTTATAAAACGGTAATAGCAGGTTGATCAGTTTACATTATTTTCCGCGTAATCCCCTGGCTTTTCCATATTCTCCTTCCAGCAAACCATGCGCCTACACTTCTAATCTCGGTTAATATGGCCTTGGATTAGTCGCACAGCTATTTAAACACCTCGGCCTCCTCATCATCCATAACATATTATTGATTGTGCCCAGTAGATTTGCTCATTCCTTACCATCTCACTGGATTTTGAAGCGACCCAAAGAAGTGGTAACTAGCCGGGACAAAGTCTCGACTACTTGATTCTCAAAATCCAGTAGCTAGAAGAACCTCAAAATCCAGTAGCTAAATAGTTCTGACGCTGTAGATGGCTGTATTTGAGTTTCATACGGCAATAACACTTGTTTTCCTAAATAAATCGGTGTTTTACTGCAAATAACGGGATGCATTTTGGCTGTAAAATCGTTTTTAAAGGATTGTTCCGGTACTGGCCAGTTTGAGTCCCAAAATAGAATTAGCATCACTTCTACGGGGTGAAATCATAAATTTCTTCACTGGAGTCCCTCGTTCCCCTTCCTACGCACTCTGACGTTTAGAATTGTGACTCAGAGTAATGGATCCAAGTCAGCAAGAACGAATTTTGAGGAAAATTTTGCCGACCTGACGAAGGTGCGGATAATTTTTGACTTTCCTTTGCATTTTGCTACGATTCGAAACAATGGGGCTTGTTTTCTGTCAGAAAAGTAAGGTTGTTTTGGGATTCTATTTTGAGCATTTAATTCTCTTCGTGGTCACTTTTTCTAGCTTGCTACTTCATTACGAGTATTCTGTTTATGATTGTGCCTTATTTGAATAAATTTTTCTTCTCCATTTGGATTAAATTTCAAATTTTTTGGTTTGCTTCCGTCCAAAAGCATGTATTTTTCATTTTTGGAAAGCTGGGGGAGGGTTCCTTGTTATTGATTATGTAATATGCAGTTTGCAGGGTATATGTTTTGCCTTCGAAATTTTTCAACATTCCCATCCAGATTGAGCATTTCATGGATTTTCAAGCCTCGACGCCTGACAAGCTCAAAGGCAGCGGAAACTGCCAATGCGACAGCACTCAGTGCGATCGAAGATGTTGAAGTTGTAAATGAAGACGAAGAAATTTCGGAAATGGCACTTAGTACAGCAGGCAAAGAACGACCGATATTACCATATAGTCAAAAAGCGCTCGAAACTTTAAAGTAAGTTTTAGGACATTTGGTTGTTTATCAATTTTTTCCTCCATTTCCTTATGGTCATTTTTATGCGTCTTTTGCATCTATGCAATGCAGAAAATACATATTGACGTGGGGTTATCTGTGTGTATGCCTGTACTGATTTTTCATCTCAAGACCTATAAAAGCTAGAGGGCTGAAACTTTGGGAACTTAATCTGCGTGCGCATTTGGTCCTCAGTCCCCAAAATGGGCGCTCTTACTCGCGTGGTACCTACATACGGACCCGCTAAAATTTTTAGCACGCAGGCTGCTAACTCGGGAATCAGAAAAGCTAGAAAGCCGAAATTTTAAGGAGATGTTCCCCATCCATGTAGGTCTTAATGAATTCAAATCCAGTTCCAAGTATACGTGGTTCCCACTACGGGCCGGTGGAAGTTTTTTGTGGGTAACTTACTTAATCGGGGACTAGGGAGGCTAGAAAGCTGAAATTTTAAAGGGATGCTTCCTGACAACAGTCTCAGTTCTTTTAGCTATAAGCATATACTGGAAAAAACAGTGCCGTTAGCGACAACAACCCGAGGGGAACTACGCAGGAAACGTATCTTCGCACTAGCATTCGGAGAACTGGTCATTTATTGTGTCTGACGCATAGCTGCGTCACTGTTGACTAGTTGGGCCAATCCAGATTTAGCTGGACAAGTGCTGACAACTCAGCTTTCTGCATAAGTCAGTAAATTTGCTGTTTATTACAGCTATTTTGTGAGTGTTGATTTTATGGGACATTAAATTTATTTAGCATTTTCCTTCTCAGATGCGAGTGAGAACTCCAGTATTTTCAAAAAGAATCGTATGGTTGCCTATGGTTAAAATCGTATGGTTGCCTGGAAGTTGCAGTAGTTCTGAACTGAGCTTTCATAACGGTATATATATTGAAGTATTCGAAATGGACGTGAGGCAAAAAAAAATATCCAAATTTGGCGATAAGTTTTTTTACAGATTGGATAAATATCCATATTATGTGGAGCGCGAATGGTGGAAAGATGGTAATCGTATGACATTTTGGTCGACGTGGCGAATGAAGCGAGACGTAAAGAGGCGGCAGCTGCTCGCCGAATTAGGTCCAGATCGTGTACGATTGAAGGCCCTGAAATCCAACATTCTGTTACCGAAACTGATCACGGATGAATGCGCCGAAAAGTTACATAATTTTCCAAAGGGTTCATGTCCGTGTCTTGTACAGCACTTGTGTCAGTTCAGTGGCGCACGACGCGGAAAACTCAATCGATTTCATCTTCATCGGCAGATTTTCAGGTTGGCGAATTTCACGCCTTTATTCTTTGATCTTTTGATTCATTCCTTGCGCTAATTGCATAGATTCGCGGTGTGAGTACTTAATAAATGGAAGAGAATGGGAAGATTC